CGTCCATCTTCTGCCAGGCTTCTGCTGCTTCTCCTCGCATGCTTGCTTCTTCTCCTTACACGCTCGACTTTGCTTTTTAGACCCCGCACTGGTTTCTTGTTCACATGGTGCTTGGAGTTTCCTTCTGTCGCAGACTTGTCTCAAGCACTAGAGGACAATGTCCAAGTGAAGAAAGTAAAACATACAGCATCACTGCCTGTCCATCCTTCTCCGTCCCGTTCCTCCGACCCCCTCACAGGGCTGCACTTCTAAGGAGCACCCGTGACCGGAGACCCTTGGCCACAGAAGGCTTGAGAAGGCCTTTCTGCCGTCGATAACGAGGAGGAGCCATCCTTCCCTCCATTGTGTGTCTTCCTCAGGAAGAGTACGTGCAGGTGCAGCGTGCGTTCTAGAAAACCCTGAGTCACTCAGGTGCCTATCCAAACCGTGGCTTGTTCTACACATGACCCCGGAACGGTTTCCTTAAAGCCTCACCATCTTTTGTGCCAGCAAAACAAAACAAAACCAACACAGGCATTCCTTAATGCAGAGGTCATGTGTGAACCTACAAGGGTGGGGAAGCTGAGATCTGTTTGTTCTGTGCATTTTCCAGTGCCACAGGAAAGTTCAGCCAGTGCTGGGCAAGCAGGGGTCCCAGATAGTTCACATGCTGAACATGAAATTCTACCTGATACTTGGCTCTGGGGAGTTTTGCCTCAAAAAGCAGAAGGAAGTGAAAAGCTCTTTCTGCTGCTGATTGTTGTCAAGACTAGGTATCCCACCATGGGGCTGAGGGTCCAGGGCTGGTCCAGGGGATGGAGGCCACAGCGAGGTCCTGTTACAACACATTCAGAGGGGCGGGGGAGGAATAGCAGGGTCGGCAGCCAGGGGAAGCAGGTATGGGGGCTGGGGGGTGGCCCACCCTGAAAGCTGAAAGAAGAGCCGGGGTCCCATGGAGCAGCCGGTGCCAATCCCGAGAGCCCATGGGGGAGGCAGCCAGGGTGCCTGCCCAGCCCCAGTCCAACCAGGAAGAACCAGAGATCCTCTAGCAGGTGCACTGAGCCCACGGACAGGATCCCCTGGCAGGTGCACTGAGCCCACGGACAGGATCCCCTGGCAGGTGCACTGAGCCCACGGACAGGATCCCCTGGCAGGTGCACTGAGCCCACGGACAGGACCCCCTGGCAGGTGCACTGAGCCCACCGACAGGACCCCCTGGCAGGTGCACTGAGCCCACGGACAGGACCCCCGGCAGGTGCACTGAGCCCACGGACAGGACCCCCGGCAGGTGCACTGAGCCCACGGACAGGACCCCCGGCAGGTGCACTGAGCCCACGGACAGGACCCCCGGCAGGTGCACTGAGCCCACGGACAGGATCCCCGGCAGGTGCACTGAGCCCACGGACAGGATCCCCCGCAGGTGCACTGAGCCCACGGACAGGATCCCCTGGCAGGTGCACTGAGCCCACGGACAGGATCCCCGGCAGGTGCACTGAGCCCACGGACAGGACCCCCGGCAGGTGCACTGAGCCCACGGACAGGACCCCCGGCAGGTGCACTGAGCCCACGGACAGGACCCCCGGCAGGTGCACTGAGCCCACGGACAGGATCCCCCGCAGGTGCACTGAGCCCACGGACAGGATCCCCGGCAGGTGCACTGAGCCCACGGACAGGATCCCCTGGCAGGTGCACTGAGCCCACGGACAGGATCCCCTGGCAGGTGCACTGAGCCCACGGACAGGATCCCCTGGCAGGTGCACTGAGCCCACGGACAGGATCCCCTGGCAGGTGCACTGAGCCCACGGACAGGATCCCCTGGCAGGTGCACTGCGCCCATGGACAGGGAACGGTGATATCCACAAGCTGGCGGCAAACGGGTGGTGGGTGTGCCGTACTGTGCAGGTGTCCCTTGCCCTCCCGTGGGAAAGATGCACACAGACCGCACCACGACACCGCCCCAGCCCAGCTCACAGGAGACAGCACCACGCCTCCTGCCATCTGCAGGCTCAGGGACGCTGCAATGTGCGCCGGCAGCCCTCAGACTGGGCATCGGCGGGGAGCAGATGTGTCCGGAGGAAAGCGGCCATGCGCGGGTCACACCCTGACAGCTTTCAGAACCGCTCTGACAGTGTTGCCGAGTGTTCAGTTCTCACACTAGTATTATCGTAGCTCATATTAGTGTATTGCGAGTATAGGGTAGTATTGCTCATATAGGGTAGTATTGCGAGTATCACTACTGTTGACCTTACTTATGTATGAAATAGATGAGGACGTTATCGTGGCTCATGGTACTAGCGTTTGCTGGCATCACTACTGTTAACACTGTTTATGCGTTAAATATATAAGGACGTAAATGTAAATATACCGAGTGCTATTTATCATGCTGTAGTTAATTTACTATGCTATGTATTGGTAGTAACACTACCAATCATGACCATAGTACCCTTCGACGCTTGGTAACCCGAAAAGGCCCCAGGACGCTAAGTCGTCTGAGGCTTTACTGTTTAGAAAGTCTCCAGCTGGGATCCAGTTCCCAGACTGACCTTTCACCGTGACACAATACAGCCTTGTGAAATAATAGAAACCGTACGTATTGGTCTGTGCTCCCTGTTCCTGGCACAGAGCTCCCCAAATCCTCGAAATGTCCTAAGTGATAAGATCACTAGGAGCATCTTGGCTCTAATGTTTGCCATCTGACCCTGGTTCCTGGTACCGAGCTCCTAAAGCCCTTGTCCTTCCCTGAGTGACGGAGCATCTTCTGTTCTGCAGAGGCCATCCTTGGGGGGCTCCTGTGCCGGGGCTGGTCGGCACAAACACCAAGGCGTGCTGAGAACCTTGGAACTTCCGTTCCGTCCGCATCCTCCAGACGGGGGAGCAGGGCTGCAAGTGGGGTTGTTGATACATCATGCCTCAGTGATGAAGCCTCCATCCTCCTGAGAGCTTCCCTGTTGGCGGACACGTGAGGGACCGGCAGAATGGCTGGGGAGACCATGGGAGCTCCGCGGCCTTCCCCGCACACCTCACCCTCTGCACCTCTTCCCTATGCACGTTCCTCTGCATCCTTGATCATATCCTTGCATAATATGCCGGGAAGAGTAAGTAAAATTTCCCGGGCTAGGAAGACTGGGAGCCACTCTAGCAAATCGGTGGAACCCAAGAGCAGGTTGTGGGATCCCACTCCCATCTACAGCACAGATGACAACTGGGACTGTGATTGGCATTGCAGGGGGCATTGGGGGCAGTCCTGTGGGACTGAGCACTTTCTAATTTCGGTATGACCGATACACAATATCCTGTTCGTTTCAGGCTTACCTCGTAGTGATCGTGTATTTCCATGCATTGCAAAATCATCCGCACACTCAGTCCAGTTAGCAGGGTGCAGCATGCACACTTACTACAGAAGTATGGACTATGTTCCCCACGTCGTGTTCACCATCCCCATGACTTCTTTCATATGTGCAGTGTCTACCTCTGAGTCCCCTTCGTCTCTTTCCCCCATCCACCCCCCCAGCCCCCCGTGGCGACCACCACTGTGTTCTCTGTGTTTAAGACTCTTTTTACTTTCTTGGTGTTGTCTTTGAAGTTTCACATGTGAATGAAATCATACAGCCTCTGTCTTTCTCTGACTTTGCATAATACCATGTAGGTCTCTCCATGTTGTTGCAAATGGCAAGATTTCATTTCTTTTAAGTAGTATTTTCTGTATACTGTCCTATTCCATTCATCTATTGATGGATGCTTAGGTTGCTTCTATATCTTGGCTATTGTAAATAACACTCAGTGAATATGGGGTACATGTGTCTTTTTTTAAAAAAATTTTTTTAAAGATTTTATTTATTTGAGAGAGAGAATGAGAGAGAGAGAGAGAGCATGAGAGGGTGGAGGGTCAGAGGGAGAAGCAGACTCCCTGCCGAGCAGGGAGCCTGACGTGGGGCTCGATCCCAGGACCCTGGGGTCATGACCTGAGCTGTAGGCAGACGCCTAACCGACTGAGCCACCCAGCGGTCCCCATGCATATGTCTTTTCGAATTACTGTTTTTGTTTTCTCCAGATCAATACCCAGAAATGGAATTGCTGCACTTTATAGTAGCTCAGTCGGTTAGGCGTCTGCCTACAGCTCAGGTCATGACCCCAGGGTCCTGGGATCGAGCCCCACGTCAGGCTCCCTGCTCGGCAGGGAGTCTGCTTCTCCCTCTGACCCTCCACCCTCTCATGCTCTCTCTCTCTCTCTCATTCTCTCTCTCAAATAAATAAAATCTTTAAAAAAATTTTTTTAAAAAAAGACACATGTACCCCATATTCACTGAGTGTTATTTACAATAGCCAAGATATTTCTTAACTTTTTTTTTTTTTAAAGATGTTATTTATTTATTTGACAGAGAGAGAGAGAGACAGTGAGAGAGGGAATACAAGCAGGCGGAGTGGGAGAGGGAGAAGCAGGCTTCCCGCTGAGCAGGGAGCCCGATGCGGGACTCGATCCCAGGACCCTGGGATCATGACCTGAGCTGAAGGCAGACGCTTAACCGACTGAGCCACCCAGGCGTCCCAATCTTTTCTTAACTTTTTGAGGACCCTCCATAGTGTTTTCCAGAGTGTCTGCACCAGTTTGCATTCCCACCAACGGTGCGCGAGGGTTCCTCTTCCTCCGCATCCTGAGCACAGTTGTTCTACTTGTGTTTTCGATACGGCCAGTCTGACTGGTGGGAGGTGGTATCTCGTTACGGTTTGGGACCCTTTGCCTGTGGGACCTGACACTGTGCACATTGTCAGAAGTGAGCTGGATTGTCGGGTACCTGGCTGGTGTCATGGACTTGCTTGGTGTGGAAAGCCCCCCTGCCCCCCCCCAACACACACAGCGGGCGTCAGGAGGGCACTGTTGTCCGAATGCCCTGCGACGTTTCCAGCATTTCCATAGCTCTGCGTGCACGTGACCCACACTGCGTGACACGTGGTCATGTGGTGGGGACCCTGCGTTAGCATAGCTCGCACCCCTAAATGTCACCGTATCTTTCTTTCTGCAGATACCGAACGGCTCTACTCACTGGTGTTCCAAGAAATATGCGACTGCTATGGAAAGAAATACAGCTGGGACGTCAAGTCCCTCGTTATGGGAAAAAAGGCATTGGAAGCGGCACAGATCATAATAGACGTCCTGCAGCTGCCGATGTCCAAAGAGGAGCTGGTGGAGGAAAGCCAGACGAAGTTGAAAGAAGTGTTCCCCAAGGCTGGTCTGATGCCAGGTACCGTGCCCTCCCAGTGGACGGGATTCCGTTCATGCACCTCACCGTACTGTTGTGAGTCACGGTTAACGACCAGTGCCCAGCTGGCTCTGTGTCTTCTTCTGTCTTCACGCGTCCTCAGAAAAATCTCATCTCGGGTGAGGCTCACAGATACTCCAGAGAGAGTGTGGTTAATCCTCTGCTGTCATTCCATCTTGTCGTTTTTAAGGGCTTCTGCATTCCTTTCACTGAGTCCCAAGGTGCAAAGACATTTGAACGGTGTTTGCTTCAACATTACATAAACATTATCTTCATGACGGGATTGCTTCCAAGTCTGATAGGTGGCTTTCCCTTTTCCTGTTCAAAATCAGGTACAGGATGATCTTGGCGACTATTTAAACTTCAACAAACAGATGACGAGCAAGCGCTAAATCTCGCCAAAGAAGCTTAATTTTTTTCTTTTTTTGAAGTTACGGCATAATTCATTTTCAACATGTCTGTATGCCCTTCACGCCTTTCTTTACTTGTTTTCCTTTGAAAGCAAAGATGACTTTTCTCCCTTGGGGCTTGTTAACTAAAGATCGATCAGAACTAAATTGTCTGCTATTTCTTGCTAAAAGTGAGAAGGTCAAGAATGTTCTAGATTGCAGGGCTGAAAGATGCTTAAAAAGGGAGGGCTATTTTAAGAATCTTCCAGGAAGAAAGGTGAATACTCTGTCTTTGGAATTCCTGGTGCGAGGGGAGAAAAAAAAATTGCAGTTACAAAGCAGTGATTTTGGATTTACAGTTGTATTAACATGAATCGTAGTCATTTTTGAGACATGTGTTTTTTAGAAATATTTATACATCCATCCGAGAGTGCGAGTTGAGTAACGCTGGAAGTTGAGAATTTTCTGGAAAGGCCCAGCTAGCGCCATTGCCCATGGTGTGACATAGAAACCACATGGACTGTACTTGGGTGAGACGCATATCTGAACGTCAGGCGTGGGTCCAAGCTCTGTGATACGCACTGTCTGCATCTGCCCCCGTTCTGCGCCCTTTGCACACAGACGTGTCCTCACAACCCTTCATGGTGCAAACACATCCGTACAGCTCACTTTTTGAGATTTTTAAATTTTATTTATTCATCTGACAGAGAACGCGCACAAACGAGGGAGGGTCAGACAGAGAGGGAGAAGCAGACTCTTTGCTGACCAGGGAGTCCGACCCAACACCCGGCTCGATCTCAGGACCCTGGGACCATGACCCCGTACAGCTAATTTTTTAAATCACGGTTAAAAACAGACACAATCGGGGCACCTGGGTGGCTCAGGCAGTTAAGCGTCTGCCTTCCGCTCAGGTCGTGGTCCCAGGGTCCTGGGATCGAGCCCCGCATCTGGCTCCCTGCTCTGCGGGAAGCCTGCTTCTCCCTCTCCCCCTCCCCCCTGCTTGTGTTCCCTCTCTTGCTGTGTCTCTCTCTGTCGAATAAATAAATAAAATCTTTAAAAAAAAAAATGGACACGATAAAACTTACTTTCTCATACATCTTTAGGTGTCCAGTTAGGTGGCATTGCGAGGGTCACACTCTTGGGTCATGGTCCCCACCATCCACCTCTAAAACTTCTTCATCTTGCAAACCAGAAACTCTGTGCCCATCAACCGCTAACTCCCCATTCGGCCTCCCTCCAGCCCCTGGCACCATCATTCCACATTCTGTCTGTAGGAATTGCACTATTCCAGGTCCCTTATAGAGGGGGGCTCCTACAGGATTTTCCCTTTCCTGACTGGCTTTTTGAACTTAGCATTATGTTCTCAAGGTGCTTTCATGTTGTAGCATGAGACAGGATGTTCTCCCCTTTTTTCCCATTGTATCGCTAGACACGCTGTGTTTGTCCATTCATCTGTTGATACTCATCTGAGTGATTGCCTCTTCTTGGCTAATGGGAATGGTGCAGCTATGAATGTGGGAATACGGATACATTTCTGAGACCGTTCTTTCCATTTCTGTGGTTATATACCCAGAAGTGGGCTTGTTGGATTATATGGTAGCTCTGTTTTCAGTCTCTTGAGGAGCCAGCATAATGTTTTCCAGAGCGGCCGCACCATATTATTTTTTCTCTAGCTGCCCACAGGTGTTCCAATTTCTCCACGTTTTCACCAACACTTAATTACTTTCTGTGGTTTTTTTGGTTGTTGTTAGTAGCCATTCTAAGATGTGTGAAGCGATAACTCATTGTAGTTTTGATTTGCATTTCTCTAATGATAAATGATGTGGAGCATCAGCCCGTATGCTTTTGGCTATTTCTGTATTTTCTTTGGAGATATATATTTTTAAGTCTTTTGCCCATTTTTTAAAATAGGGTTAATTTTTGGTTGTTGTTAAGTTCTAGGAGTTCTTTATATTTTCTGGATAAACCCCTTATCAGATACATGGTGTACAAATTTTTTTTTTCCTATTTCATAGGTTACCTTTTCACCCTCTTGATTGTGTCCTTTGATGTGCAGAATTTTTTAGGTTTGATGCAGTCCCATTTGTCTATGTTTGCTCTCCTTGCCTGTGCTTTTGCTGTCCTATCCAAGACATCATTCTATAATCCATTTTCATAAAGCTTTCCCCCTGTTTTCATCTAGGAATGTTACAGTTTTAGGTGTTTAATTAATTGCAAGTTCATCTTTGTATGTACCATAAGGGCTGAACATCATTCTTTTGTCTGTGGATACCCACTATTCCCAATTTGGTGGGAATTTGTTGAAGAGGCTGTCCTTTCCCTGTCGAGTGGTCTTGGCATCTTGTTGAAGGTCATTCAGCCATATATGTGAGGGTTCATTTCTGTGCTTTCTGTTCTGTTGGTCTTCATACCAGTACCACATTGCTTTGATTCCTATAGCTTTATAATGTATTTCCAAATCAAGGAGTTCAAGACCTCCAACTTTTACTCCTTTTCGGTATTTTTATGGCTGTTCAGAGTCCCTTGAGGGTCTGTGTAAATTTTAGGATGAATTTCTGTATTTATGCAAAAAAAATGTCCTTGAGATATTGGATCTGCAAATCGCTTTGGGTAGTGTGGACGTTTTAACAGTATCAGATTTTCCAGTTCATGAACATGGGGATGTTTTCCATTTACTTGTGTCTTCTTCTTAAATTTTTTTCAGCAATGATTTGTAGCTTCAGTGTACAAGCGTTTCACCGTCTTAGAAGTGTATTCCTTTTTGATGTATTATAAATGGAATTGTTTTAACTTTCTTTTCAAATTGTTCATTGTCAGTATATAGAAATGCAACTGATTTTTGCATGTTGATTTTTGTATCCTGGGATGTTGCTGAATTTGTTTATCAGTTCTAACAGTTTTTGTGTGTTTGAAACCTTTAGGGTTTTTTACATATAAGATCATGTCATCTGCGAACAGGAATCACTTCACTTCTTCCTTTATGACTTGGATGCCTCTTATTTCTCTTTCTTGCCTGATTGCTTTGTCTAGGTCTTCTAGTACTGTGCGTAGAACTGTTAATCTTGTTCCTGATCTCAGAGGAAACACTTTCAACCTTTTTCTCTTAGGTATGATGTTAGCTGTGGGCTTTTCATATATGACCTTTGTTATATTGACACAGTTTTATTCTACCTATTTTTCTTTTTCCCAGTTTGAGTGTTGGTATCATGAAAAGGTATTGAGTTTTGTCAATTGCTTTTTCCATGTCAGTTGATAGAGTTTTTGTCCTTCATTTTATTAATGATTATCAATGATTTTTGTGTGTTGTGAATCATCTGTGCATTCCAGAAATGACTTCCACTTGGTCATGGTGTATAATCCTTGTGCTGTTGAAATCAGTATGCTTGTATTTTATTGAGTATTTCTGCATCAGTATTCATTATAGATATCCATTTCCTTGTGGTGTTTTTGTCTGGTTTTCATATGAGGGTAATGTTGGTCTCATAGAATGAGCGTACGTACCCTCCTCTTCAAATTTTTGGAAGAGTTTGAGGAGTATTGGTGTTCATTCCTCTTTAATTGTTTGGTAGGCTTCATCACTGATGGCTTTTTCTTTGTTGGGAGGTTTCTGATTCCTGAATACATATCCTTAGTATTTTATATCTGATCAGGCTTTCTGTTTCTTAATTTGATCTTGATACAAGGGTATATGTTTCTAGCAATTTATCCATTGCTTGGTTACCCAGTTTGTTGGCATATACTTTTTTATATTATTCTCCTAAATCCTTTTTTTTTTTAATTTATGTGGCATTCATTTTAATGTCCCCTCTTTTCATTTCTGATTTTAGTTATTTGAGCCTTCTCTTGTATTTTCTTAATCTAGCTAAGGATTTGTCCAGACAGTTAACATTTGACGTGGATTACATTTCGTTGTTTAACACGCCAAGCACCTAGAATGTATTAGGCATGCAAATGCCTTTTTTCTTTCTTACCCACCCAAGCCTTTCAAGTGCTTCTCCTTGTTGTATTTTGTCCTGTATTCTAAGAAATCCTTGAGATATGTTCCACGGCAGTACCCAGAAAATGTGATGTCTTCTTCCATAAAATGGAAGCATGGCTGGAACGCTAAGACGTCTGTGTCCTCAACTCCACTTGGTGAATCCAGTCGATGCAGTGTTCCCATCTGGCTTTCCCAGTGACCAGGTATCACTTCAGTAAGGTACCAGTCACAGATAATCACAGAGAATCACCGAATCCAGACATTCCTACCTTAAAAGTGAGGCAGGAGCTAGTTCGTCAAAGAGAGTTTAGTCCTACAGAACTTACCTGGATGACTTCTTTCTCTACCACTTATTGACCTCTTAACCTACTCTCATCGGTAAAGCTGGTTACAATTAAAATCAGTAAAAGCAAGATATCTTATTTGATTCTATGGATCCTGCATAAAGTAGGGCAAGTTTTCTACCCTAAAACACACACTTCACTGTGTCTCCCTTCCATCCCGCACCCCACCCGTTTTCTCGGTACCCCAGCCGAACCTGAAATCCACTGCACAGGTGACCTCCCAGAGCCCTGGGTGCAGGGACAATATTCAGAAACAGTGGCCACCGCCCT